CGTTCGCGCTCACCGCGCGGCAACCGCGCCCGTCCGCGCGCCCGCGCCCCGCCTTTGCTCGCGGCCACCACGGCCACGGCCGTTCCCGCCCGCGACCTTGTCCTTCCTCTCGTCGGCCGTGCCCGCTGCTGCCCTTCTGCCGACGTCCCATTCCGGCGGCCGCCCGTGCTACGCCGTCGACCACGCGCCCGGCGCCGGCGCCCCCCTCTGCGCCCGCTCGGCCCTCTCCTGGGTCGGGCGCCCCGCAGCGCCTCGCGCCCGCACCTGCGGCGCCCGTAGCACCCGAACCCAATATGGCCCCTAGGGGCCTATGACAAACGGGGCCCGTGCCCCATAACGTTTTTGAAAAAAAAGGAAAAGGAATAAAAAATAAAAAAATGATTTAATAAAATTAATTATTAATTAATCAATTAACTAATGAATTAATTAAGTTAATTAATCCGGTTTAATTAATTTAATTAACTAGTTAAGTTTAATTAAACTGTAATTAGATTAACCTAAACCCTAATTAACCTAATTAGAGGATGACAGGTGGGTCCCCCCTGGACCCACATGTCAGGTTGAACAGGTCAACTCTATTGACTGCTGACGTCAGCATGACATCATGCTGACGTCATAAATCCATTTTTTCGAATTAATTAATTAATTAATTAAATTCCAGAAATTAATAAAATCTTTAGAAAATCATATCTTTTAATCCGTAACTCGGATTAAAATATTTTCAACATGAAAGTTGCTCAGAACGACGGGACGAATTCGGATACGCAGTCCGTTCGTCCGCCACACCCCCCTAACCTATCGAACTCGCAACTTTCCCCCTCCGGCTCCTCTGCCCGAAAACACGGAACACCGGGGATACTTTCCCGGATGTTTTCCCCCTTCACCGGTATCACCTCATACCGCCTTAGAACACGTCTAGCTCTGCTTGTTGTCCTGTTATGCACTTGCTTGCTGCGTATTTACTGTTTCTTCCCCCTCTTCTCTCCGGTAGACTACGAGACCGACGCTGCTGCTGCCCAGTTCGACTACGGAGTTGACGACCCCTCTCTCTTGCCGGAGCAACCAGGCAAGCCCCCCCCCTTTGATCACCAGATATCGCCTATTCTCCTCTATACTGCTTGCATTAGAGTAGTGTAGCATGTTACTGCTTTCCGTTAATCCTATTCTGATGCATAGCCTGTCATTGTTGCTACAGTCATTGATACCTTACCCGCAATCCTATATGCTTAGTATAGGATGCTAGTATTTCCATCTGTGGCCCTACATTCTTATCCGTCTGCTGTGCTATACTATCGGGCCGTGATCACTTGGGAGGTGATCACGGGTATATACTATATAATTTATACATGATACATGTGGAGACTAAAGTCGGGTCGGCTGGTGGAGCACCCGCGAGTGGATCTTTGTGGCGGAGCGATAGAGCAGGTTGAGACCACCTAGGAGACAGGTGGGCCTGGCCCTGTTCGGCGTTCGCGGATACTTAACACGCTTAACGAGATCTTGGTATTTGATCTGAGTTGGCTACGAGCTTATACGCACTAACCATCTACGCCGGAGTAGTTATGGGTATCCCGACGTCGTGGTATCAGCCGAAGCACTTCAGACGTCAGCGACGGAGCGGCGCGCGCCGAATTGGACTGGAACGCCACTAGGCTAGGTCTGCTTTCGGCCGCCCTCGCAACGTGCAGGTGTGCTATGGGCGATGGGCCCAGACCCCTGTGCGCTTAGGTTTAGACCGGCGTGCTGGCCTCTCTGTTTTGCCTAGGTGGGGCTGCGACGTGTTGATCTTCCGCGGCCGGGCATGACCCAGGAAAGTGTGTCCGGCCAAATAGGATCAAGCGTGCTGGGTAAGTTGGTGCACCCCTGCAGGGAAGTTAATCTATTCGAATAGCCGTGATCTTCGGTAACAGGACGACTTGGAGTTGTACCTTGACCTTATGACAGCTAGAACCGAATACTTAATAAAACACACCCTTCCAAGTTCCACAGACAACCCGGTGATCGCTTTTCCACAGGGCGACGAGGGGAGGATCGCCGGGTAGGATTATGCTATGCGATGCTACTTGGAGATGCTACTTGGAGATGCTACTTGGAGATGATACTTGGAGATGCTACTTGGAGATGCTACTTGGAGATGATACTTGGAGATGCTACTTGGAGATGCTACTTGGAGGACTTCAATCTACTCTCTTCTACATGCTGCGAGACGGAGGCTGCCAGAAGCGTAGTCTTCGATAGGACTAGCTATCCCCCTCTTATTCTGGCATTCTGTAGTTCAGTCCACCGATATGGCCTCCTTACACATATACCCATGCATATGTAGTGTAGTTCCTTGCTTGCGAGTACTTTGGATGAGTACTCACGGTTGCTTTTCTCCCTCTTTTCCCCTTTCCCTTCTACCTGGTTGTCGCAACCAGATGCTGGAGCCCTGGAGCCAGACGTCACCGTCGGCGATGATCCCTACTACCCTGGAGGTGCCTACTACTACGTGCAGGCCGCTGACGACGACCAGGAGTAGTTAGGAGGATCCCAGGCAGGAGGCCTGCGCCTCTTTCGATCTGTATCCCAGTTTGTGCTAGCCTTCTTAAGGCAAACTTGTTTAACTTATGTCTGTACTCAGATATTGTTGCTTCCGCTGACTCATCTATGATCGAGCACTTGTATTCGAGCCCTCGAGGCCCCTGGCTTGTATTATGATGCTTGTATGACTTATTTAAGTTTTAGAGTTGTGTTGTGATATCTTCCCGTGAGTCCCTGATCTTGATCGTACACATTTGCGTGCATGATTAGTGTACGATTGAATCGGGGGCGTCACAACCTTGGTCCCTTGTTATTGGCGCATCCGATCCCAAATCTCCAACCTGGTAGCGAATTAGCATGGTTTAGTTTACCCCCTATCTATACACTTGAATCAAATAAACATGCAAACATGGCATTCAAGCTTGCCGCTGCAGGCAATGGCATATCTGATAGCAATATGCAATATGAACACCATTGAATAACTGAAAGCAATAGTCTTGGGTCACCTTACCTGGCACCTAGTGTCTCTCCAAGATTTTATCATCAAGCTTGATTGCATACTATAAGGGATCCATGTGCAAGCTGAAAATTATCAGTACAATCAAGTCTATTTGTACCATAACTGTTCCCTATATGCACGAATACTTGGAGTTTGGATCTGATACAGAAATATATTAAATATTAGTTTCAGAAAGTTACATACTATAATATGTATTATTAAAGAACTGATAGACACATTCAGTTTTCTCTAATTAGATGAACTTTTCAACCATTACCCATGCGCAGACCTTTGAGGATTGAGCTCACATTAAATTGAAGCGAAATTGTCCTGAAAAAAAGCAAACAAACGCAAATGAATCCCATGCTTTGAATACATTTAGAGAAATAGCTATCAAAGCATAAATGCAGCAGTTATACGCAAGAGCAACCGAACTCATATTTGCTCCATACGGAGACTATGACTTTGCTTTTCCTAGCATTGCAGGGCATAGGCCACTTTGCTTGGTGCAGCTGCCCCTGCAGCCAAGAAAATACATATCTTTAGAGCAGAGAGGAGGAAACCTGCGGTGGTTTTTTACCTTGGTGCTTTCCCAATGGAGCTGCCGGAATCGCGTGGTGCCTTGGGGCTCATGTACGGGTGCTGGGAGTTAATCTACATCAAAACAGAGAAGATCATGATAGGAATAGAATAGCTGGCAAATTCCGCACGTGAGGAGCACCGAGGCATGAACCGACGTCGGCAGCGCCCTCCATTAATATGCTAGGCCAGGGGTGCAGAGTCCCACTTGCGGGAGAGGCAGGGAGGCGGCCATGGCACATCGTTCTGGAGGGAGGCGACCATGGCACGGGACGGCGGCGGCTGAGCGCGGCACCGGCGCTCGGGAAGACGGCGGACCATGGAGGCGCGCGGAGTGAGGCGGAGACACACGGATCTAGTCGCTCCCAGGTCAGATCGGGCCACAGTGGAGCTCCACATCGGGATCCATGGTGCTCCACATCGGGATCCATGGTGTTGTTGTTTCTGAAACAGAGAGAGACAAGATTTGTGAGAGAGAGAAAAGGAAGGGAGAAGGGAGAAGGGAGAAGAAGACAGATAGGGCGCGCGGGAGAGGTTACTCGACGATGGCTGGAGGTCGGTAGCGGTGGCGCGGGACGCCGGCGTGAGGAGCAGGCCAGAGGGAGAAAACCGAGACGGGGGAAAGAAAATCGAGGGGTGAAGGGGTCGTACGAGAGGCTTGACGAAGCGGGAAACGTAAGAGGGGAAACGGAACACTATGTTTCTTTTAGATGGCAGAGAAGCATAAGCACTCTAGGAAAACAATCCAACTGTTTCCTTGAATCCGTAAGCACAGGTGGCAAGACGTATTTTACATTGTGGCCCACTTATCAGTGTCTCGTACCCCTCCTGGCCAGATCCAAGTGCCCACCGGACAAAACCACCACTTTGCAGTCGTCTTCCCCACGCGCGCCCAGATCCAAGCCCTCCGCCATGGCTCCCACGGCGCCTTCGCCGGCGAAGTCCGCCTCCCCGTCCCAACCATCCGGGTACACCACTTCCTTCTCTGGCTCCCAAAATTGCTGGCCTCCCTAATCTTAACTAATCAATCGGGGCAATTTGAGAGCGTGCAGCAAGAGCGAGGTGTCGGATCTGAAGCAGCAGCTGCGGCAGCTGGCGGGGAGCCGTGCGCCAGACGCTGATGATCAGCGCCGGGATGTCTTCAAGCGGGTGATCTCTTGCATGACCGCAGGTATCGACGTGTCGGCGGCGTTCGGGGAGATGGTGCTCTGCTCCGCCACCTCCGACGTTGTGCTCAAGAAGATGTGCTACCTCTACGTCGGTGTCCATGCGCGCGCCCACCCGGACCTCGCCCTCCTCACCATCAACTTCCTCCAGCGCGACTGCCGCGACCAGGACCCCACCATCCGCGGCCTTGCGCTCCGCAGCCTCTGCTCCCTCCGCGTTCCAAATCTTGTCGAGTACCTTGTTACGCCGCTCACCACAGGGCTGAAGGACCCTAGTGCCTACGTTCGGATGGTCGCTGCTGTTGGTGCTGCAAAGCTGTATCACATATCTGCTACCACCTGCCTCGACGCTGACCTGCCTGCTGCGCTCAAGGCACTTATGCTCTCGGACCCTGATGCCCAGGTGAGCTTTCATGCTACGAACTGTTTTGATGAGATCGTTATTTTGTTTTCTGGCGACCCTGTTATTCTACATGCTTGCAATGATGAGATATCTATGCTGCCTAAAAAATCGCAGCATGCATTGTCTTCACTAAACCTGGAACTGGAAGTTAATCTCAACAGAAATTGAATTTTGTTACATGGAACTGAGTTAAGCTGCAAGTTATGATTATGCTCTCACTGAAAAACGGTTTGGTTTATATCTTGCTTGTTTGATCATATAGTAATAGTTTGTGGCTAATTATGCCTTGCCGGTTTAAATATGTACTGTGATGTAATGCATCAAGTAAATGTAAGTACTTCGCATCGGATGTCCACCACAAAGGAAATTCCAACCAGCGGATATAACCATGCTATCAACTTCAATATAGATATTTAGAAGTAATTGGTTATTATACCAACTTGTCAATTTCTCCTAAGGACTTTGTGATAGAAAGTATAATTACATACAGAACCAGCTGTGGTAGCTTCTTGCAAATTCACAATCCCATTAGTTACGAAATTATAGAATTATAGTCTTATAGGTAGCTTTACATATACACCCTAGTGTTTTTAGTTCCAACATATTTTATTATATCCAGCTGATCTGACACTGAATCTGCGTCGATCTGGTTCTGGATTAGATATTGTGATCTGGAGTTTGATTGAGATATATTTATTAGATACAAGTACAATTTTGGGGAACAGACGTTCTTGGTTTCTAACTAAAATCAATCTGTATATCTGCAAAAATATGATTGAAGATTTTGATTTAAGGATAAGAAAGAGGAGATAGATTCCTTATCCAAAAGTCGTAAGATTCTAAGACTTGAGTCGCGATTCTGACGACTTTGTCATCCACCATAAACTACCGAGGACTCACCAGTCACCACTCAAGTATGCCTTATAACCATAAGTACTCCCTCCATTCCAATGAATAAGGCGCGCACGCATTTCAAAATCCACATTGACCATAAATTAGACCAATAATATATTTTTATGACTTAAAAATCATACAATTGAAAACTTCTTCAGATACGAATACAATGGTATAATTTTTGTTACATATAACCCACATTTGGTTGGTCTAATTTATGGGCAAAGTTTAATCTTGGTGTGTGCGCCTTATTCATTGAAATGGAGGGAGTATTCCCGACATTGTACTTTTCTTTTTGGAGCATCTAAACTCCAGCCCAGACTTCTTCTAAAAACCGAGAAAAGGCTCACTTTCACTCATACCCAGTTCAAATATTTCTTGCTTGGCACCATGTCTCGTGTCTGTAAGGCATGCTTGAGCATGCATGCCTACATCATCGTCTTCTACAATACCATCTGTATCCATCGACCGGCCTCTATTTTTATCGATTGTTCTACAATACCCCACCTGTTTCCATCTACCGGCCTCTATTTTTATTGATTGTACTGCAGTTAGCTATTGCTTTCCATTATTTGCGCCAGTCCCTTCGGCTAGTTTATGTGCGTATTGGCAACTATGAAAGATTGATACCATGGCCCTTGTATGTACATATAAACATACTGAGTCAAATGGAAATGACTTCTAGTGCCAATCTTTGAGCATCTCTAGTAGACCCCCTATCCTATAATCGCAAAACGTATCCCCTAACCCAGAAAAAGCTAATTTTTAGGGGATTAAACCTTTCTTCATCTAGCAGATCCCCTAAAACTTGATCCCTCAAAATATTTCTTTTACCAATTCATCCAACCGTTTTCATACTTATCACCACATATTAATTCAAAACTTGAGAATTCAAGTACACACAAGTCAAATACATATCAAATTTAATGCTCTCAAACTTAACTATTCAAATTCAAACACAACATACTGTCCAAATGAACCAATAATCCAAATAAACATGATAAAAGCACAAGAATCAAGTGCTATGAAGTCGCCAATGATGCTCAATAAGATCTTCTTGAAGCTGGTTGTGAGCTTCTTGGTTCTCGACCCTTTGGTGTGCTTGGAAGAATGCTCCGATCCTGTTTTGTGTTATGTTGCTCCACCTCGACACCATTGTAGAGATACCGAAAGTCCTCTGGGCCCTCTCTCTCATCCTCGATGATCATGTCGTGCAAGAGAACACATGCTCTCATGATCTGCCACAGGGTCTGAGGCTTCCAATACTCAGCAGGGCCATGGACAATCGCAAAGCGTCTTTGAAGCACACCAAAAACTCTCTCAACATCCTTTCTAGCAAATTCTTGGCGCGTTGCAAAGTGAGATATCTTGTTGCCTTTAGGATGGTGGACTGTCTTCACAAATGTGGCCAGGGAGGATAGATACCATCGACAAGGTAGTATCCCACGTTGTACTCATGGCCATTGACAACATAGTTGCAAGATGGATCGTCACCGGCAACAAGCCTTGAAAAAAGAGGAGATTGCTATAGGACATTCAGATTGTTGTGAGAGCCAGCCAGCTAGGCATCCCGAAGTATGCGTGCCAAATCCAGAGATCATGTGACGCAACTGCCTCAAGAATGATTGTTGGATCATGTCAATGCTCTCTGTAGTGACCTTACCATGCCACATGACAATTTTTACATGTCCAATGCATACAGTCAATGAATCCAAGATCCCTGGCCAACATCTCTCTTCATTTTCTGCCATGAGCCTCTTGGTATCTTCATTAGTGGGAGCCCTCAAGTACTCCGGTCAATAGATCTTGATCACAGCTTTGTAGAATCGTTTCACGCAGAACATGGTCATTGATAGAATCAGCCGGGCATCCATAATCAAGGACTCACACTGCTGTTGTAATCTTCGACAATGGACTTGCACCTGATGTTCCCGCTGCATTCCTTCTCAGTTTGTCCACAACTTTTGCAATGTACTTGAAGAGATCCCGGTGCATCCGGAGTTGGCGATGAAAATAGTAAGGGGGATATACTGCACTCGACGCGAAGTAATCCCTCACTAGACCATCATGACCCATGATCCTATTTCGAAGAAACATCCTTCAACCAATTTGAGAACCACGACCCGTCTCCTAAAATACTTCTCCATAGCGACCAACGACAACCACCAACTCGAATTCATCATCTTCCTCCAACGATGAATCATCGAAGATCATCTCCCACAATCTTCTCGTCTACACATTGGAGAGTTACATGATCCACTTGAGACCTTTCTTCGATAAAAAACAGAAAAGAAAACATTTGGTTTTGGTACTATTAGACACGAGGAGGAGGTTAGCCTTGATGGGCAGGTGGTACCTTAGGACACCTTTCGATATTTGAGGTCAATGTTGCAGGGGGATGGTGATGTCGATGAAGATGTGAGCCATCGAATCAAAGCCGGATGGATGAAGTGGCGCCAAGCTTTTGGCATTCTCTGTGACAAGAGGGCGCCACAAAAGCTAAAAGGCAGGTTCTATAGGATGACGATTCGATCTGTAATGTTGTATGGCGCTGAGTGTTGGCTGACTAAATGGCGACATGTTCAACAGTTAGGTGTTAGGTGTAGCAGAGATGCACATGTTGAGATGGATGTGTGGCCACATAAGGAAGGATCGGGTCTGGAATGAGGATATACGGGATCGAGTTGGGGTAGCACCGATTGAAGAGAAGTTTGTCCAACATCGTCTGAGATGGTTTGGGCATATTCAACGCAGGCCTCTAAAAGCTCCAATGCATAGCGGATGGTTAAAGCGTGCTGAGAATGTCAAGAGAGGTCGGGGTAGGCCAAACTTGCAATGGGAGGTGTCTGTAAAGAGAGATCTGAAGGACTGGAATATCATCAAAGAACTAGCCATGCACAAGGGTGCGTGAAAGTTAGCTATCCATGCGCCAGAACCATGAGTTCGTTTCGTGATATTATGGGTTTCAGTTCTAGCCTATACCCCAACTTGTTTGGGATTAAAGGATTTGTTATTGTTGTTGTTGTAGAGGCAATTGGACAGACACCTTGTGGGCAGACGGGGTCGGAGAGATGGTGGCCGGCGACAGAACTATGGCTAGGGACGAACGGTGGCGGAGGACACTGACAACGGTGCCTAGCAGTCCGCAGAGGTTATTCCTGGGCATGGAGGCAACGAATGCAGCCAGGATGTAGGTGCAGCGGCAGTAGTGGGCTACTTTGCCGGTTCTTGTGCCGTCAGCCAGCTAGGGCTTGTGCTTGAGCTTGCTACGCCATCTCCAAGGTTGGCCGGTTCGATTTCCGGCAAAAACGGGCCTCGGCGTCGACCGGGTGGAGCTACATGACGGCAGCCCCGTCGGCGGCGAAAATGCTGATTCTGGCGCCGGCGAGTGAGGAGAAGGCGCCGGAGAAGGTGACAGGGCTGCGGGCTTGTGCCATCGAACGGTTCCGTTGCCTGGGGGTCGACGGCGGTGGCAAGAGGCGGGGCGAGGCGGGGCGGCGCTGAGAGGAAGGTCGGGCAGCCGCCTAAATTTACTGAGAAGCTGCATCTCCAGAGCAAAAACAGGATGGAAGGCTGCGTTTTAAGAGATGCAAAGTTAGGCCTCCTTTGGTTCATAGGATAGGAAAGTCATAGGAATAGGAAAGTCATAGAAAATGAGATGACATGTATCTGAAATCCTATGAATAGGAATAGAAAAGAAGGTGCCCTTTGGTTCACATCATAGGATTTTTTTCCATTGAGTCTAGGCTAATGTTTATTTTCCTATGAAATGTGGAGGATAGGAAGAATTCCTCCACAGGAATAGGATTATATTCCTACAAACCAAAGGGCTCTAACGGAATTTTCCCTATAGAAATCCTATCCTATGGGATTCCTACAAAATTCCTACAAACCAAAGCAGCCCTAATATTTTTGGGGGATTATTGGTTTGAGGGATCTGCTAGATAGGCCTTATTCTCTCAAACCAGAAAATTTCCCCCCAAATATCACTATCGGGGTCTGCTAGAGATGCTCTTACATCAACTAGTTATATGGCTTCAAGCCTGTAAGTTTAAAAACAAAATACTCTGCTAACTACTGGAATTACCACACGTCTTTGGTCTTAGGAATACTGTTGAAAGTTAGTATTCACAAACTGTGGTGTTGAATGCACACAAAATTGAAAACTGTGGTTTTGAAAATATTTTGCATCCAAATAGGACCCATTGTAATATTCTAGTCTGTGGTATTCTAGAAAGGGTTGGAAGGTCGGCCTGCCTGTTAAGAGGTCCTGTCTTGAGGAAGGAAATTCTTACTTAACCTGACATGTTTCATTGGACAAGTTGATTTAACTGGGCCTTGGTTCAGCTGACTAGTTTTTAGTTGTTTATCTCTTGTAAATGCCATTTTTGTGGTAACCTGATTACATTGCCGAAATCTCCAGGTGGTTGCCAATTGCTTGCATTCACTGCTTGAGATATGGACCCTAGAAGCTGCCAATTCAGAGGCAGCAGGGAGGGAGATTGAGACACTATATAGCAAGCCAGTGGTGTTTTACTTGCTAAACAAGTGAGTTTCCACCTTTGAAGATTTTGTTAGCAATACTTCCTATGTGCATTTACTCAAATTCTTTTATTTTGAATTGCAGAATCAAAGAATTCAGCGAGTGGGCACAGTGCCATGTTCTTGAGTTGGCGTCAAAGTTCCTACCATCTGATAATAATGAAATATTTGACATAATGAACCTGCTTGAGGATAGACTTCAGCATGCAAATGGAGCTGTTGTTTTGGCAACAATCAAAGTGTTTCTCCACTTGACGATGTCAATGACCGATGTTCACCAGCAGGTGTACAGTGTTTCACACATTATGTTCCTGGATATGCAGTCTTACTCTTGCAGCACAATTATTCTCCTTATACTAAATTTGTGGAAGTCTTAATTTTTATCCTATTTATATGCAATCAAATACACTGAATACCACTTCACATAACCAGTAAACATACATATATCTATTCTCTGGGAATTCATGTGGTCTTCAAATTTCTTCATTCAGAGGGCACTTCAGCTATTTGTCTCATGCTTATAGTTAGATATGCGTACACCAATATACTGGATTTTCCTTTTTATGCCACTATTATAGACTTCTTAAGTGAAATGAGATCTTGATTGAGTATCTTCTAAATCCTGTTTGCACCCTCCATTTTAGGTTTATGAACGCATAAAGGCACCTTTGCTTACTCTGGTAGGTGCTGGGAGTCCAGAACAATCATATTCAGTGCTATGTCATCTGCATCTTTTGGTGATGCGTGCTCCCATGTTATTTTCTTCCGACTACAAAAGTTTCTACTGCCAGTTTAGTGATCCTTCGTATGTGAAGAAGCTGAAACTTGAGATGTTGACTGCTATTGCAAATGAGAGCAACACCTATGAAATTGGTATACCAGATATCTGATGGTGTCATATATCTTGCAAAATATTTGATATATTTGTTAGTCCAGTTGTTCCCCCTCCCCCTAAAATGCTCATGCCATATTTTTTTCTTCCTGCTAGTAACCGAGCTGTGTGAATACGCTGGAAATGTTGATGTACCAATTGCAAGAGAGTCTATCAGAGCAGTTGGAAAAATAGCTCTGCAGCAATATGATGTGAATGCTATCGTTGACAGGCTTCTACAATTTCTTGAAATGGACAAGGATTATGTGACTGCTGAGACTCTTGTAAGTTCTATAATGCTAGCTATTGATCCTTACTGTGGGTAAAATCTTGTAGGATTACATTCAACTGTGCATCCTTTTGTGCCTGAATAAAAATTAAAATGCAGGTCTTGGTGAAAGATCTTTTGAGGAAATACCCTCAATGGAGCCATGACTGTATAGCTGTTGTTGGAAATATTAGTAGCCAGAATATTCAAGAGCCAAAAGGGAAAGCAGCTCTCATATGGATGTTGGGTGAATATTCTCAAGATATGCATGATGCTCCATATGTTCTTGAAAATCTTGTTGATAACTGGGATGAGGAGCAGTCTCCCGAGGTACTAATAACACTTTTCTTGTTTTGTGTTGTTCGTATTTCCTGCCAAATTAAGATGTGTCAGTGGGTTTCAGTATGCAATTTTCTTTCTTAAAGTTCTGTAAGAAATTTACATGACTGGCTAAAGTAATTTTCGACGGCAGAATACGAGTTGCTATTGTCCTTGTCCTATATGTATGTTAAAAGTATATCTGCTTTGATCATATGGGCTCATGATGTTGTGTCCTGTAGTATCTAATGGTTTGCTGGTAGTGTACATGTTTAAGATAAAGGCTAAAGCATTAGATCAGTTAGAACTGGAAATGGTAATGATTGCAATCTTGGTTTATAAAGGCTGTAAAGTTGAATGTCCCATCAAGTTTTACTGTAATGAATAGTGTGGTTCATGAGTGAAACTCACATCCTAGCGTGTTAACACGAGACATTTCTCTTGCCGTCTTTTAGTTGATATCTTGAACCAAGTAGTTTATTTGGAATCGGAAGAGGATTTGTAGCACCTGGGTGCTCCACACCCCTATATGAACATTAAGTTCAAAAAGATACCAGGAAATTTCAAAACAAATCTGTGGTTTTGGGATATGAAACCTGGGTGCCTAATCCACTTTCGTGTGAAATTTTGTGAATACCAGGAAAAGTATCCGTGGCAAAAAAAAATCCTATGTACAGAAAAAACTGTTTGGATGGATTTTAGTTCAAACTGTATTTTCTTCGTCACGGATACATTTCCTGGTATTTTTCTACGAAACTTCATATGGACGTAGATTGGGCACCCAAGTTTGAGATCCCAAGATTTCAGTTTTTTTTTGAATTTTCCTGGTATTTTTTGAATTTACTTTGTATAGGGGGTTGGAGCACCCAGGTGCTCCTGTGTATTTCCCGTCACCATATAACTCTGTTCCATTTTCAGACTGTTATATGCCATGGTCCACTGTCACAACCCTAGCCAGTAGGTACTTAATGTTTAACTTCACATCATTCTTCCAGTGATGTCTTATTTTCAGGTTCGTTTGCATCTTCTGACTGCGGTGATGAAATGTTTCTTTAAGAGACCACCAGAGACACAGAAGGCGTTAGGGGCTACATTAGCTGCTGGCCTAGCTGATACACACCAGGTTGGATTTTTTTTAATGATAGTTGTTGGATTATTCATATCATAACAAATGGTAAAAATGTTGTTTCGCTAGCTTAACTGCCACCTCATTGCAGGATGTTCATGACCGAGCACTTTTCTACTACAGGCTTTTACAGTATGATCCGGCTGTAGCTGAACGTGTAGTAAACCCTCCCAAGCAAGCTGTCTCTGTATTTGCAGACACACAGAGCAGTGAAATCAAAGATCGGATATTTGATGAATTTAACAGCCTATCAGTTGTATATCAGAAGGTACTTAATTTGACATCTGACGTGTAATCGTCATTAAAATTTCGAACACTGATAACTCCATTCATCGATACCTCTATCAAAATTTTGTTGTTACCATTCCCAGCACATGTCAAATTTTGTGCATGTTGTATGTTGCAACATTTAGTGCATCTGACAACATTGTTTACGGACTGCCTTTGTTGTCAATGATGACTGATGAAGGTGCTGAAGATTATGTTTTGGCATAGCAAAGCTTGAGTGGCAAATAATGCAGTCGGGGCAACAGAAATTCATTTCCTTCTACCAATATTCATTAGCTCTCAGTGGAGGCATTTGAAAGCAGTAATTTGGTAATTACTCCCTCTGTAAAGAAATATAAGAGTGTTTAGATCACTACTTTAGTGATCTAAATGCTCTTATATTTCTTTACGGAGGCAGTACTAATAAACTAACAGTTAGCTCATGGGTTTTGGTTGATCATCGGCTATAATCACTTGCAGTGCCAAGCAAAGCCAGTGTGGTCCCACATGCTTCAACCTTTTAAAGCAAGTGGTTCAGTTCATAAAAGAACCACGTGGAACTCGGTTAATATTACAAATTCATGCATCAGCGATTAGATTAAGCACTGTCCTATAAGCAAAGGCTTTGCTGGGTAGCAGTCTTCAACTATGAAGCTAGTTAGGAACCTTAGTAACTAGTTTCTGAATCCCTGCTTCAGGCAAGTTGAGTTAATGCATTGCAAAAGAGTCCATGCCATGTCACGTGTCGATCTTGTCTTTGTTGAGTTGCAAGAGATGTGCTTGTTCACATCTTTCTGTGATTAGAAATCCACTAGTTTTATTATGGCTAAGATGGGAACTTAATACCAGCATGATGTGCAATTGTTGTCATTGACTACTGTTAGATAAGGTTGGAGCATAATTTGTAGCAAATCAGCTATTCGAATATAATCATCCGCATTTTTATTTTGGAAAATTTACATGAGAAGTATTGACATCTTGATGGATTGCAGCCCTCTTACATGTTTACCGACAAGGAACATCGTGGAACATTCGAGTACTCAGAAGATCTTGCGAACTTAACTGTTGGGGCAGAGGCTCCAGAAACCGTCATTTCTGCCCAAAGATACCAAGAAAACGATAATGATCTTCTGCTAAGTACTTCAGATAAAGAGGACAACGGTATAAGAAGCAGCAATGGTTCTTACACCTCTACATACAATGCTCCTTCCGACTTGCTAAGTTCGCAAACACCAGCTGAAACTGCACTAATAAATCCTGGTAGTTCGACATATTCAACACAAACAAACTTCAGTCTCGATGATCTTCTTGGACTTGGTGTTCCTGATGCCCCAGCACCTCCACCACCTCCTGCACTGGCCCTCAACTCAAAGCCTGTGCTAGATCCTGCGACTTTCCAGAAGAAATGGGGCCAACTAGCATTATCCTTTTCTCAGGTGTGTTGCTTTTAAGTTTTTGTCCCTGCTACATTTTATGATTATGGGCAGGGCAGCATAGTCTTGTGTCTTTTTCTCATTGCCTGGTCAAGTTTCTTATGATTTTAGCAAAGTGATCGCGTGAAATCCTATGTGCTGCCGCTGTCTAATTTGTCCATGAAGCTCATCTCAGCTGTGTTTGAAATTAGCAGTTCTGATATAGTGATGTTCTATGTTCCTCTTAATCGTTTCACTTGGTTTGAGATTATTATGATTTTACTTTGGTAGTATTGCACAAGAGGATTCTGTGTGATGATCTGCTTCTGTTTGTCGTTTTCCTGTATAGGTCCGCCCTTGAAATTCATCATCACATTGATAAGTTTGAAATTGTAATTAACAAATACTTCTCTCATATGGTTTGTTCTGTTGTAGGAATGCTCTTTAAGTCCACAAGGAGCAGCTTCTTTGATGAATCCCCAATCGCTCATTCGTCATATGCAAAGCAACTACATTCAATGCATTGCTTCAGGCGGTCAGCCTCCAAACTACAAGTTCTACTTTTATGGTCAGAAAGCTGGGGCTGCTGCTTTCTACCTTGTAGAATGCATTGTGAACACCGCATCAGCGAAGGCCCAGCTCAAAATCAAGGCCGAGGATGGGACTACTGCTGAGGCATTTTCTACCTTGTTTCAATCAGTATTGTCCCAATTTGGCCATTCTTGATCGTGAGCATTTTCCGTCTTGATGATGCACCTGCCTCCAGCTTTTCTGGCTCTGCACAATATCTCTGCAATCCACTACTTTAAACTCCAAGCAAAGCCTTCCGGTACATCTTTTTATCAGAAGCTTGGAGCAGGTGAAATTTGCCGTTCGCCTCCCAGTGTCATGCAAGTACCATCAGACCATTAGATTCCGCAGGGAAAAGACACCAGAGTTTTTTTTGGGGGGGATTTCTTTTGGTGGGTGAAGTCACTAGCACTGTACATTACTATACATTTCATTCAGTCATCTTGTGAAGCGGCTAATTTGTTCAGGGTTATGGTGGTTTAGATGGTGTGTAACCTTGTTACTGGACTGTACATGATTCCGTTGATGTGGTGAGAATAGATGGATACCTGTAATTTGTTTGCAGGGTGCAATAAAGCAAGAGTATATTCGACTTGTATAAGTTGGCATTCGAAGTACATGTACACAAACAGAAGTGTGGTGATCACAGCAAGTTAAAGTTGAACGTCAACTTCTTAAGATCATAACAATAGGTCAAACAATTAATCTTTACAGACAGTGATGTAGACAAATCGTACCATAATCAACTGGCAAAACGTTGTCTATCTAGTCCTCGTCACAAAATTTCTATGTGGCAATCGTTTAACACGGCTTACTATTTGGAAGTGCCTTAATATTGGGATGACAGCTTCTTCAGAACATTGCAGTTTCTTCAGAACAACCTTATATCAGGTATAAACTGTGACTCAACAACAACACAACTAACTAATTAGCCATGGCCTCAATGAACTGGCGTGCATTCTGGTGTTCCATAAATCCATCTAGGCTGCTGAGGCAGCAAAGCTTCTGCTAGCATTGTAGACTGAATGAATGAGCAGTCAGGCACCAAGAGTACCAAAATTACGCAACAAGCAATAATGAGTAGTACTGCTTACTTCTAATCAATCAAAGCAATTAGTTCAATTAAAACATACACACGCATCAGGCAGAGAAATACAATTCAGACAACTAACACTGAAAGTTCAACATAGCACAATATATTAATAGCAGATCCGTAGCATCTCAGGTATCTAACAAGATCCGATCCAATCCAGGATCGATCCACCGACATAACATTATTCGACACAGATCAGATAGAAGATCACCACCCAGGGATCAAGAACTCAACCACCAGGATTCAATAAACAGCAAAAACATCTACTAGTAGTAACTAAAAGGAGCTGGATCGATCCAGTCTAGGGCTCGCCGGGGATGGGATCAGACGGGGGACAGAAGCTGGAACAAGCTAGGTTTGGGCTCGTCTCCCTTAGTCATGCCGACGACGATGATGAGCGGGATGAAGCCCCAGTGCGCCACCACCTTCGCCGTCTTCATCGTCCACGTGCTCCACTCCTTGGCGAGCTGCACCGCCACCGCCGCCGTGGACTGCTCGTCCTCGGCCGCGGACGAGCCCCTCTTCCCACCCTTGCCCTTCGGCTTCGGCTTCAGCGACGGCCGCGACGCCATGGCGACTCCTCTTGATTCTTCGATTCGCTGGACGAAAACCCTAGAGACGTGGCCTTTGGGGATGTGTTGATCTGTCGTTTGATCTGGTGCGTTGTTTCCGGTTAATATTGGCTGCTTCCTGGGCCAGTCCTTCTCGTGTTTGGTTAGCAACTACAGTAGTATCTCTCTGGGAGACCTCTCATGGGTCCTCAAATGCTTTGGGCTAGGTTTATCTTTGAATTGGGCCAAACTTTCCAAGTAGCCAGGACCTGGGCATTGTGGACACCGAATATTCTATTTGACGCTAACTGCGACAAACTTTCATTGAAACGCACAGGGAACAGGTGCGAGCGAACTACATGGGCCGGCCCACTTCTGATCGATTTACCGAGTCACAGGATCCCGGTTTGGTTCCCAAGGCGGTTCTTACTGGTTTTTTGGCTTTTCAGATTTTCCTTTTTTATTTCTGTTTCTGTTTCTTTTCTTCTTTCTTCCTTTTCAAGTTTTATCTTTTTTTTCTGTTTCCTTTTCTATTTTTTATTTTAGAAAATTTTGAATTCTGAATTAAAAAATGTTCATTTTTTCAATTTTGTTCACAAATTTAGAAAAAAAATACGTTTTGAAAAAGGGTCAGGGTTAAAAAAAGTTCCCTTTTTCTGAAATTTATTCACAAATTCAAAATATGTTCAGAGTTTTCCAAAAATGTTCGTGGTTTCAAATTTTCTTGAATTCCAAATTTTTCCTGTTTTTCAAAATTTGTTCACAGGTTAGAAAACGTTCCAGAATTTCAAAAAATGTTCAGGTCTCAAAATTGTTCAGGGGGTTCCCAAATCTGTTTGGAATTTTGAAATTGTTCAAAATTTCAAGAAATGGCCAATTTTTTGAAATTTGCTCACGTTTATAGAAAAAGAAATTTGAAATTTTGTTCACGTTGTTAAATAAATGTTCTCATGTCCGAAAAATTGTTCACCATTGGAAAAAAACGTCTGGGATTCGAAAATTTTAAGAATTTCAAAAATGTTCTTTTTTAAAATACCAATTTCAAATTTGTTCTCATTGTTAAAAAAATGTTCAAACTTTGAAACATTACTTCGAATAAAATTAAAAAGTGTTGAGGTTTGGCACTATTGTTAGTTCTTGTATATCAATGTTGCAAATCAGTCACTTACAATTAGAACAAACCCCTCTTATATATACAAGAAAAAATGGTTTTGTATGGTATACTGTGTGCTAAGTATTTTTTTCCTATCAATGAACTTTTCATAATTTTCATAATAGAATCCTCATGTTTTATTATGAAAATTATGAAAAGTGGAGTATTCTTACAATAGGACTTACAACTTCCACCCATCTTCTCCAAAATCATAAGGTTAGTAAATCTTATTAATAAGAGCATAAATACTTTCATTCTAGACATTAAAAAAAAAATCCAAATGGCCTTTTCTATTTATCCATTTTAATTTCATCACTAAATAGAAACCCTTTTGAATTTTTTCATTGTATTGAAAGAACCGAAGTTCCTTCCCTTAGAACCGTACTTGAGAGTTTCCTACCTCATACGGCTCAGAAATTGCTATATGAATTTCCCTATCTTAACTGAATTCGATTTATCAAAAATTGATCCAATTTGTTCTTGGGTTAAGCTTCAAACCCTATTTTTATCAATAATCAGTTTGATCTTTTTTACCACCTTCAGAAGAATGAAGCATAGATAGATATAGAGCCTTGGTTGAAATTTTCTAAAAGGTGGCATGGCTATTGGCATCACTTCATTACCAGAGGTCTCGAGTTCCATTCCTCTAGAGCGCGCCGTTTTTTCGTTATTTTTCCTGTTGCGCTATAGTATTTGCGGGGGCTTCCCATCGCGTCTGCTTGGTGCACGCACCCGCAGGCATCTGCCATGGGCCGGCCCAGTCGATGCATATCCTGCACGAACGAGTGTCCTTTTGCCACAAAGTGTGTTGTATATGAGCTCCACTAGTGAGTTCTACTTAAAAAATACTACTAAAAAAGATAAAGTGAGTGATACTATGAGCGACTAGTCCACGATCATTCCCTCTGTTGGGCTTTCCAGCGAACACTCTTCGTGGGGCTTTTCAGTGGACCCTCGAAAGCGCGTGGCGGTGCTATAGCCATCACATGGTGCATCTCAGAGCTGGTAGGTGCTGCGCGTGGGTGCACCTCAAGCGAACTCCAACGCAAGACCCCAAATGGCCTGGCCGATGTTTGGGGTAAACAGACAAAAAACGTGGCCCAACGCGTGGGAACAAACGGACAAACATCCGTTTTTTCGTTCGCTTTCGACCCATTCCCATGCCAAATTTGGGCCGCATTTGCGTCGAAACAGACGCATGCGGACGGGCGGGATGCGTGCCCTTGCCCTTCCCTGGCCCACCCCTATGTGGCATAGACGCCCTTTTTTCTCTTCCCCTGCCCCTCACTGCGTCTCGCCCCCGGCGTTGCCGCGACTCGTGGACGCCCATATTCCCGGCTGCCTTCCTCGCTTTCCTGCCAGGCCACTCGGACCACGACCAAGACATGCCATAGCTGGCTCCACGCCCGCGTTTCGGAGGACTTTCTTGCTGGCGTTCGCGGCTCTTTGTTGTTGCAGCCGATGGAAGAGAAGATATGCGCGCGGATGATGTCCATCGACCCCAACACCTTCCCGTAGGCACTACATAGCTGCAGGGTGCCGCTTGCCAACTTCCACCTTGCCTGCTGCCTATGAGGCGGGCTCGACGTGCTCTTACCGACCACGTCTACACCATGACTGCAAGGTGTTCAATGCTTTGCTCACAAGGGACAATGCATAGTGGGGATGAGTATTTCTTTCACAACTTTATTTGTTCATCGGATGATTCGTCCTCAGATGATGAAGACCTTGTGGTGGCTGCATTGGTCGTCAATGACCACATTTCTGGGAAGTGGCCTCGGTTCAGGGGATCAATCCCGGGTCATGCTCTCGCCTTGAACCACAATAGGGAGAGCGGCCACACCCTACTCTATGCCGATTACTTTGAGAATACCACACTCTTCAAACCACACCAATTCCGTCGCCACTTCCGTATGAGGAGACATGTGTTCAATCGTATTCGGGAGAGAGTGGTAGGATATGACCCATACTTTGAATGTAAAGAGGATGCCCTTGACAAGCTTGGCTTCTCCTCTTACCAGAAATGCACCGCTACTATTCGCATGCTTGCATATGGAATTCCAGGTGATCTTGTTGATGAGTACGTGCGTATGAGCGAGTCCACATGTCTCCTATCAATGTATAGTTTCTTCAAGGCCATGGTGGCAGTGTTTGGCCCTGAGTGTCGGAGATATGCCCTAGAGGCAATTCCTATATGTTTATGAATAAAGATAGTCCTTGGACATTATCAATGATGTGTATCAGCAAGTACATGACTTTTTATGGGACTATGCATTGTATGATGACTGTCCTAAAAGGTCGCTAGTCGAAAGGGTAGTGTGGACGCGCAACCAACTAGACTAGTATATGACACAGTGGATGGCTCGGTCTCACTAGCCATGGAGCATTAGATGCTAACCGGATAATATGGGCTCGGAAGGATTTGGTCGGATTCTACATGGTCGGATCCGAGTCGGACAGACCCAACAATGAGATGCAGCGATATGACATCTATGAGTCTCTAGTACAACATACATTCTATGTCCTAATACCTGAGCTGGTGCATGTACTCGAGATGGCGACAAACCTGCTTTAGGCCGACCAAATGCTACTCCATGACTGGGTAGTTAGAAAGGTAGATTTCAGGCTTGTCCAGACCCATGCCGTGAGACATGGTCGAGCAAGATGGGATTTGCCTCTCCGACCAGGAGAGATATACTCTGGGCCCCTCGTGTGATCCGACCAAGATAAGCATGGCCACTCGACAAAGATTATGAGATAATCCATTTTGTGGTCGACATCACTGGAACGAGAAAGAGGTCGGGCTAGCACAAGGATGACAAACTCGCCTTGTGCCCGACAACATATATCGTGTGGCAAAGGGAATAGAAGTGTGACATGTTGTACAGGTTCGCCTAACCATCTTCATCGGACACTTGGAGTCGGCATGCCTAGCTAGAGGCCGCTACCGACTACACGAGCCGGATGTGATCTGACTTGCGACCAAGTGAACAAGAACCTAAGGGGTTGCGCGCTTAAGGGAAGGAACCTGTGAGGTTGGACATGACTCCACGAGTCGGATGGGATCCTACTCGGACTCGGATCCAGGCTGAACATACTTTGGGCTTTAGGATCCGTGCGAGGCCCAAGTGTTGAGCCCGCGATGGATGCCTATATATAGTGAGGGTGCGACACACTCATTTGGTTGATCGCTTCAACGCTGTCACTAGGTTTTGCATGTGTTGCAAATAGCCACCTCCACTCGCCACCGACTATGTGAACGAACCTAGTAGTCCGCCGCACGGTGTTCCTCCTGCACGCGTGGATACCGTTAGAGGCGGCGCACTTGCGCCGCTCTGACGAACTTGTACGTGGGATCTGACGACCAGCTGTTTGAGGGAGATCGGACAAGGAGGAGACGATCCACGTGGACGCGCTGCCCAAACTCTTCTTCCGCTGCACGACACTACGCGTCTAGTGGTAACGGTCTGTGATCCATCTCCCGTAGCATGTTCTTGGTTGTTCTGAGTGTAGGAAAATTTTAAATTGCAGTCGACGCACCCCACGTAGAACCCAACAGTGGTATCAGAGCCACTGCTAGAGGATTTGGATTCAGATTGTATACATATTAGATATGTGGAGGCGGCAGATGAGATTTGTTGTCGTTTATGAGATCGACTGTGTGCATGGTTGATGAGATCACCTGCACATGGGGATCGATGATGCGATGTTTTCTATCAATAAAGATCAATGAGGTCGTGACACAACCTACCCCTACCGGTCGGTATCCGCCATCGGGGTTAACAGTGAAACGTAAATCCGAATCGGATTCACGATGATCGATAAGATCAGTCAGATCAGAAAATTCAGCGTGATCGGAGCGGGACCG